TATAGGACGCAAGCAGATTTTGACATCAAATTTTTGGGGTTAAAAAGTGCATCTTATACACCGAAAAATACGGTACTTTTTCTGTTCTTTTACCATTCTTAGAGTTGTCAATCTTCATATACAGAATAAAATTATTGTGCATAAGAGCTACAATTGATTTATGATACATACATATACATTTGTGGCAAAGCTTTGAATGATATGCATAGATACACAATAAAATCAAGTTCAATTATAAGCATGAAGTATGCGGTCAATCCATAATGTTAGTTAAGTAACCTTGTGTGCAGCACTAACACCAAGTTAAAAACTGTTCATTACATAAACAGGCCAGGGCTGGTTTTGTATCCTATTCTTCTCATGAATCATATAGTTTTTTCTTCAAACACATCTTCACTTCTGCTTTTCCATATGAAAAGTTAACATATGACATGGGAGACACAAATATGAGTGCTTTGTGCATGAACAGTTTTTTAAGTAGAGATTTTTGAGCCATTGTATGAGTATCGGGGCAGATTGCACACTGGGACAAATGCCTGGTGGGCAGTGAATTTGACACATTCGTAGAAATTGATATTAAATTTTAATTGTTTAGCCAGTATGCAACATGTGATATTGTTTGGGCTGGTCTTTTAATGCCAATCTGCCCTTGATGAGTATTGAGCAATAATTTAATAAAACTAATGTTTTTTTGTTGTTTTTTACTAAATGAACATAAAACGTTTTTGGACAAGCAATATAATGAAAAAAAGCAGTTATACATGCACACCTGTTTTTCATATCTAGTCTTAGGGAGCCACTACATATGGATTGCAACAACTTGTTGAAAGCTGGGAACTTTCATAGAATCTGTTGTTCTGTAATAACTGTTTGGTAGATCTCAGAGTTTGTTCAGGGAAGCAGTAGGACATTACACAATGTTTCAAGTGACTTTCATTACCTAGCTTCAAATCTCAGATCCTAAGAAAGATATCTTCATTTTCAACAGGTATTTCAATTCATATGAAGTATGCGGTCAATCCATAATGTTAGTTAAGTAACCTTGTGTGCAGCACTAACACCAAGTTAAAAACTGTTCATTACATATTTACGTGGTGGGATTCAGCTGGTTCGCACCGGTTCGTGCGAACCTGTTCTTAGAATTTAATGACCTCCACGAACCGGTTGTTA